TTTTTGGGTTTTTTTTGGCTCTTGCAGACCACAGTGGAATCCTGGGTGGAACAGGGTTCCTGCACATTCTAAGCCTAAAGGGAAAGGGTGAATGCTTGAAGTTATCCAAATAAAGTTGGTGAAGTTTGTGCAATGCAGTTTTCACTTGTATTGCCATATATTCCAAAACTGGAAAAAGTTTTCCTGTGGAAAAAATTACTGGTAGTGGTTAAATGTTTGTGAGGTAACATTGTCTGCAGCACTTTTGCACTGCAGCAAGTGTTTTGGAAATTGTTTTAGGATGCTATTAACTCAACGCACAGATGCCCCATATGCAGGGAAAGATGAAATGGACAAATGGACATTCCTGACTCTGGCGTTTGGACAATTTAACAGTGTACTCAAAAAAAATCAGAATTCTAGTGTATGGACAGTTCTAGTGTTTGGATAATTTAAGAATGTACTTAAAAAAATTTAAAACATATGGGTCTGATTCTTCCCCAGCAGTAATTTACTATTTCTCCTCTCCTCTCCTCTCCTCTCCTTCCATTCCATCCCATTCCATCCCATTCCATTGGAATTACCTAAGGCACATTTGATCCAGATCCTATTAATTAGTAGCAAGTCCCCATGTTATCCCTGGATCATCAATGGCCCACTGTTACCCTGAATGACCCAATTATCTAATCTAAGACTGTTATCTTTCCTAACTTGGTTTTGAGGCTGGGGTGTAGATGTTTAGTAGCCCTCAGCCCTAGGCTGTTTCCCCTGAAATCCAATATATAAGGAGTTAAGACATCAGTGACTACTTCAAGAAAGTCCATATGGCTGCGATTAGAATAAAAGAGATGGGAATGGAGCTGATACTAGTAAAACTCATGGTATAACACTGTGGTAAAATTGGAAATTTATGTCTTTGAATAATTTTGCAGAGTCTGTCCCCAAAACCTACAGTTTTGACAACCTTAGGATTCAGTGTGATAATATGGGGGAGATGAATTAGGCAATCCCTTGAATTAAAACAAATATTCCTCTGCTCCTCATGGAGAAAAGCTACAGCAATTTTGCAGGAAATTTTGGAATTTTGGAAATGCAGACATTTCCAAAGGTGAAGCAGAACATCCTCCCAGCTCTCCTAGGCATGTATTAGCAAGACTTGCATGGACTGATTTCCCATGCCCAGAGCTTTTTTAGGATTGCTGTTTAGTGAGGTTTCTTGCAGAGGAATAGAAGTCTGCAAAAGGAAACCTAGTCCTAAGGTCGACTACTCTTTCCAACAAACTTCCTCAGCCTAACTGGTAAGACAACAGAACAGACGCTTTATTATTCTACAGATCTTCCATAACCATCATACAGGCTGAACGCAATTTCTTAATGATGGGCTTTTAGTAGTATTCTGCACTAACTAGGCACAGTGTCAGGTGACAAATAACAACAAATGTGTCTTCTTTAATCCCTTCCCAGTGCCTGCACCTGCCTGGAGCCCAAGGAGCATGGGTTGTTGTGCTGCAGGAATAGAAAAATCAGTTACATGGATGGTTTTACCACTCCTTTCACTTGGTGCAAAGGTCTTGATATAATGGTAAAATAAAAGTGTGTAAACTTGCTGGCTTGATGAAGGTGAGAATTGGATGATTTCCTGGCAAATTACAGGTGAATTACCTCTGTTTATCAGTGTTTTTTCCTGTGCCACCCTGGAAAAATATGCCGTCCATGGAAAGGTTTCATCTAATCCTGAATCTCAGTAAAATAATCTGAGTGACAGTGGGTTACTATGAACTGAAAGTGCATAGCTTTTCTTTCAGCTAAGTTTCCATTAAAAATGACATTTGAGATGTGAAAAAAGTCACAGCACAAACCATAGGGAATATACTTGTAAAAGCACTCCAGTGATGAGGTAAATCTGATCCTGGGAATAAAATATACAGCCTATGGAAAGGGAGGACAGGCTTTTAAAGCACATTCAGCTATGTATAGTCCCAAAAGCATCCAGTTGCTTTTCTCTGCTCCTGCGGAAGTAGGATGTAACAATACTGGAGAACTGAACTGTTGGTAACTAACTGGGGTAAGACTGCGTCACAGGAAGAGCATGTCCTTGTCAGTCATGAAAAATACAAAAAGCTGAAGTTACTAACTAAAGAAATGCAATGAAAATAATGATTTCAGTTCTGTTTCCATTTCCGAAGACTTCTTGCAAGATATTTTGTCCTAGAAAAGAAGAAGCTAGGTTACATTTTCCTCACAAAAGTAGGTGGCTGAAAAAATGGGAATATTATAGGAGAAATCTGAAGATAGGATCATGAGTTCAGTCCCAATGCACTAAGGAAAGCTTATTTACCTCAGTCAAACAGGACAAATAGGATTTCTGAGAAGGTCCATGAGAAAATCCTCACCAAATCCTCCATCTGTGTGTCCATGCAAAAAGGAAAGAAGTGTGGACAGAAGTGCCACAGTTGCTTGCTCACACTTTAACCAAGGTCCAGCTCTAGGAACAGAGTGTGAGCTTCTGTGGGGCAAGGAAATGCGCCTGGCTCTGCAGTGTGCTCGCCAAGGTACAACACTGGCTTTACAATAGGCCTGTGTTTAGACCCTCTGACAGCTGGAGGTGGAAAAAACTCAGCCAAAGATTAACAGCTTTTGCTGCCTGCTGCCAGCTACCAGATACACGTAAAGTCTGGTCACCACATTAGCTCTGCACGCTCCGTGGCCTGTATAGCACTTTCTTTCAAAGTATGTCCATGGCACTCTCTGTATGATGGTATGAAAAGCACAGGCTCTGATGTGGTTTTAATACTTGTATGGAAGTGTATGGTCCTTGGTATTTCCCCAGCTCTGCTTGCTTCCCCAGATGGTGTTTGAGTCACTGGACAAATGGAGGACCTAGTTAGGGAGAGGACGGATATTGAGTGCAAAGCCTGACAGTGACTGGTTCAACTCCATTTGGATTCGTCCTTGAACTAGGGAGCTGCCAGTGCTTACAAGCTCAACATGCAGTCACTGCCGGCATGCTAATAGATGTCCTTACTCCAGGACATGCTTGCTACTGAAGAAGTTGGCCTTGGATACATGCGGGTGATGCAGAAAATTGATGTTGGTATCTCTAGAGTGTGTGCAGGATTTCGTACAAAGGCTACTGGCTTGGAGAGGAGAAGAATCCAAAAAGGAAACTAAACAGTGATTATTCTGATAGCAGAACTATTTCAGCTGTTGAACTTTTTTCATTTCATTAGATCAGAGTGCATTGCTACAGACAAGTCTCTACCCAATGCTAGTATAGAGGTCTGTGCATATGCGTGGGGACCCTTGGGCTGTTTATGGACAGAGTGGCTCATCAAGAGGATTGGTAGGACTAACAAATAAAGGATTTTGTCTCCAGGAGAGAAGTACAAAGTCTGACAAACACTTTCCTTGAACCTCCGCTTAGAGTTGAAACAAACTGAAAAGGAAGCCGACTTGCTTGCTTTGTTTGCTCTGCATCTCTCCTGGGTTCAGTGTTTATTTTATGACTATATGGGATAGTGAAGTTTTCTGTATAATTCTGTGGGAAGTTCAAACTTCAGAGACGGAGATTTCTGAAATGGCTTTCAGATAAATCTCTTGTTCAGAGAGCTTGTGACCATTTTGTTCTAAATACATAGTATGCTTCCTGTTCATGAGTAGAATAGAGGGTAAACAAGCTCTCTAGGGAAAGGAATAGCTGTACCTCAGTACATTCTTTTACTGGAGCCCTAGAACACATTCTCCTTTCCGCAGGTGTTTCTTATTTCTGTTCAGTTATTTTCTAATTCATAATCTCATACCTTTTATCCGAAAATATCAAATCATCTATATTAAGTTTTGAGCATTCCTGGGAGGTGTATTCGTACTGGTGATATTTGTTTTGAAAACAAGTAAGTTGAGGACAATAAGGAAGTTGCATTGACTAGTCTAAAGCGTAGAAACTGAGCAGGTTTCTTACTTCCCTCCTTCACTAGCCATTAAACAAATGGACACGGATCTCCTTCCAACACAAGTACAGAACTTCATGTATGGATATCTCTCTGCATAAAGGCAATCAGAAAATGATCCATGTATGTGGATGTATACCTGCTGCTGTTATATAGATAAGATCTGGCACTTGGCTGAAGAGTTCAGACAATCTGTATCAGAATGCAGATGAAATAGGAGAACTGTAACTAAAACAGAATTATAGTTTCTACAGAACAAAGTAATTCCAAAATTAGGAAAAAAAACCCTCTTTTCTCCACTCATAGATGTATTTTCTCTTTAATTTAATTGTTATGATTCCTCTACTTCCATAAAAGTTGGCAATCTTTTTGATTTGTAATTTCAAACTTTTACTGGAATGATAGAGGATAGAAATGTCCTTTTCTGAAATAAGCTGTGATTCTCACATAGTCTCACAGGAGATGGGGTTTTCATAAAAGGCAGTGAGACCAGTGACCAAGTCCCCAGAGCTGGCACTGCTGCAGGTGAATGACCAGCGAATGCTCTAAAGGAGATACAGAAACCAGCTTCACTGAGTGAAGGAAGCGACTGTGAGCTAGTAGCTGCTGCTTGCGAGAATATAGGGAAGATACTTTCTATTCTTGGCACCACAGAACTGCTGGCTACAGAGGTCTCATGTCCTGCAGATGCTGAAGGGACACAGAACTAATATCTGGAAACTTTATTAATTTCAGTAGCTCGGCATATGAGCTTAGTCTTGGAGAGATCTGTTCAAGCTTTGAATAGGCTTTTTCAACAAGCGCTTCACAACTTACATTCTCACCACACAGAAACATTATTTAAAAAAACCCCCACTAATTTCATCAAAGAAATTGTTTGCATTAAAAATTCACCTGGTAGAAACTTAAGCACTTCCAAATCATACAGACAAAGCAAAGTTTGCATTGCTATGGAAACAAAGCTAAAGATGGCTTATACTGTGAAAAGCAACTTACAAGTGACTGTGAAAAGCAAGTTTTTAAGGATGACACCTTTTGGGTTGATCCTGATAGACATGATGTAACACAAGCGTCTTGGGTTAGAAGGCGGTTTTATTTGGTTTTCCATCAAGAAAGATAACTTTCACCTCTATTCTTGTAAGTCTGACATCAAAAACTACCACCATACATATATGAGCTATTCAAGTAGACAGACATCTGCCAGTACAGAGTATAACTTCTCCTGTCAAACACTTCATGAAAAACAAGCATGGTTTCTTCATGCCCACCTAGTGAAAGAGGAACTGCTAAGTCAGGATACAATATTGGATCATAATATATTTTCCTTTATATGAGGCTAGTTATTCATAAAAGAGTAAAAAAATCTAGTATCTAATGTTTAAACAAAACATACTTTATACATTTGGCTAAGCTGAAACATCGTACCTTGCCAAATGAAAAAATGCTCTCTAACCATAGTTTCACTAGCAGCTCAGTAGGTATGTAAGGCATGCAGTTCATTTCCTGCCAAGGCTGAGAAAAACGGGTAGGTCTGAGATAATATTGCTAGTGTGCCTGAAAAGGATCTTAGCTGTTAATGTTGTAGCTGACTGCATAGATATGTTTTGGATTTTGGTCTCCTTTAAAATTTCCCAGGTAAAACTTTTGGTTGGACTCCATTTTAGCTCTGAATGGTGGAGGGCACAGCAGGAAACAAAAAAGGATTTTCCAAAGCGTTACAGTCATCAGTAAGGAACACCAGGTCCTGGAGAAACAAGAGAGGTGACTAATGTTATAAGGAGGAAGGCATACGATCGTGAAATGTTTGAATGATCAGGCCCTGATCCAGTCAGGGGACAGGGTGGAGATGTATGGGGCAAAAAGCAGAGGCTGCATCGCTGCTGTTGCATCTGGACCTACCCTTCTGCAGTAGAAGATCATAATGGTGTACAGGCTCCGGGCTTTTTCCTTCAGAGCACTCACTTGAAGCACTCTCTCACATCTAGGGTATGCCACAAAATCACGGAGCTTTGCCAACACACAGTAATTCTGAAAAACAAGCACAAGAGGCATTTGTAACACTACACAATGCAGATTTATGTTCATTGTCCACCGCTTAAAAATTCTTATCGCCTTTGTGGGAACCTTGAACTCCTACCTCCATGCACATCTAATCTATGTAAACCTTTAGTTAGGAAAATCAATCATCAATATTTCAAAACAAAGATATCTACTCAAAATCAGTGCTTTGAAAAGTGCATTTTGGTCTGCCAGCTTCTTTCCCGCATGCTTTAGGAGGGAATCATGCTTAAGAAGACATCAGTGGCAATACAATCAAATCTACTCCTGTAGCTGGTGGAGTTACTTACAGTATAGATGCACTGTACCTGCTTTAAGAGAGTGCCTCACTTAGCTGGTGATAAGGATTATCAAGGTCTCAGACATCATTCCTGTGTTCCCATACAATAGGCAATACTGGGAGTGCTAGGGAAAATTCTTCTCAGAGTAATTCTTCTTCACGCCTTGCATTACCAAAGCAAAGCGTAGACAGCATTAATTTCACAACATCCCTGTAAGGCAGGTAAATAAATGTCCCAGCTCTTCTTTCAAAGCAAGGTACTGGCATTGCTTTGCTTGATCTTTGTTAAAAGTGAGGCTCTGGCACCTCTGGAATTAGAATGCAAAGGCTCTTGGCTTGCGAGACTTCACAGTGTAATCACCTCCTGCAAAATGTGTCAGACATTTCTTGGTTTGTTTGATTTTTTTTACTTGTTAGTTGCTCAGTGTAGCGCTGGGAACATAAGCAAAGTATGTCAGCTATCCCAGGACACACCACTAAAGTATAAACTACTTGTGCAGGAGGAGACTATTTCTCTTCACTGAGAGATGACTACCGTTGCCTTTTCTCAGTATCATACTTCTGTATCCTCTGAAATACCTTTTCTTTCTGAATTCAGCAAGTGGCTGTTTAAAAAGAGAAAGCTAGCAAAGTATTCCTGCGCTCCCATTTATTAAAACTGCAGCACTGATAGTCACACATGCTATAAAACAAAGCAAAATAAGGTTGATTCTACGTTTTTTCTTTTAAACTATTATTCCAGGCATTGTTACACTTTTAACTTCTGAAAAGGTGCTGTCACAATAAATTAATAATATGCAAATGGTAATCACTTCACAATGTCCTCATTTTTGAATCTTTAAACAAGGATAATCTCTGAAGCTTCACAGGGATTTTAATAAGACTCAAAATGATATTTCTTTTTGGTTTTTCCCCCCCACCTCTCTAGTTAATTAAGCTTTGGAAAATTAATTTCAAACTACTCTTCCGGGGTACAGTCTAAGCAGTTATTCTCTCTTTTTATTAGCTGGTTTTACTGCACAGCAGTCAGAAAGAAGAGCAAAAACTTACGTGTATGTCCAAATACAGCCTGGGCAGTGTCTCCACACATGGGTCCTGCAGGAAAGAAGAAAGACCACTGCAATTTTGCTTTCAGAGAAATTTGTGCCTAAAACTAGCAACCCAAAGTGTCTTTGCAGGAACAGTTTTTAGATAGACTCACCACAGCTTTGGAGATCTGTAAATCCCTAAAGGACTCCGTGATTTCTTTGCTCAGAGACAGCATCCTCGAGTAGCAGGTCGGAGGGGCTGAGCTGACAATCAGGACAGCAGAGAGCAGAGCAATCAGCCTCAGCAGCGTCTTCATCACGGGGAGTTTGTCCAGAGAAGGAGAAAGGGAGGGAAAAAATCACTGTCAGTGGTTGTGCAGCTACTGGTGAGCTTCAACGGTTAAGTTTGGCCAGTCAGCCCCCAATTAAATAGTCTCCTGCATCAATGGGAAAAAAAAATGTCTGGGAGTGGTCCAAGCAAGCAGCTTGCTGCCGTTTTAAATTTCCTGCCAACCTACGAGCCCGAGCTCCTAGCACTTTCCTGGCCTGGAGCAGGGAAAGAAGGGAATGGGGATAACAAAACAAACACTACGTTATTCCAGAGAGAAAAAAGCGTGGTGAGCATCTAAAGGAATAGGAATATGTGTAATAAACAGCACAGCGTTACTGAAAGGTCATAGGCCCTGCTCCTGTATGTACTTTGGCACATGCCTCTTTCTTGGGAACAGAATATACAGCCATGGGACTACGCAAGCTGCATAAAGAGAAATACCCTCACAGAGCTGGTATCTGATGTTGATAGTATTAGTTAGATTGCTTATCGTCTTTAGCAGGTCTGAAGGGTTACTGCTATAAAGGAAACCCCCCAAATCCAGTATCTTTTTCTCTTTTCAGCCTATGCAGATGCTCAGTGTTTCTTAATCAAAATAATAGTGCTTGTGACAGCTGCTTGGAGGGGCGCTATATTTATATACTCATGGTCTCAGACAGAATTAATACACCTCTATAAGGCTATCATAAACCTATAAACACCATTTTGCTTTCTGAATTGAATTTATGAGGATCTGTTTTTTTAGCAGAGTCCAAAGTGAGCTGACACATCCAGATACTTGGATGCAGGCATAAGGGCTGAATATATGTTCGGTTTAGATGTTAATTGTCCAGTAAAATGGAAGTATCCTTGAAAGAAGAACTGGCTACATGCTAAAAACAAACAAGCAATCCCCCGTTCCCCCCCCCCCCCCCCCCAAACACCTTTCAGGTTCAGACTGTGTGAACTATCTGACAGAGGACTGCAGTCCCTTGGGATCGAGGTAGACTGGAAAGATCCACCTGAACATGGGAGAAGGGGAAAAGTCGGAATGCCTGTACAAGGAAGGGCTTCCCACCGGCCATTTTGGAGAGAAAATTAGAGTTTTGAAAATGGGTTTTGGGGGGGAAGAGGGATTCTGCCTGCTGCAGAAGACTCTGCCTTAAATCCCCCCAAATACCTGGAAACAGGGAAAAAAACCCACATGCTGTTCTCCTATTACATATTTCTTTGCTTTATAAAGAATGATCCATTTAGTAAAATCATGTGCTCCTGGAGGGTTGAATTATAAATAAGAATATCCAGTGAGGAAAGAAATATGTAAACTGTTGGGAGTCTTGGCAGTGGGGATTTTAGGGCTGGCTCTGGCAAACGGGCTGTCAGATCTTATTTTCAGGAGAGAGATTTGCTTAGGCAAGTGAATGAAGATCTCAGAGAAAAAGAGGGAATCTTCTCCAGTAGAAAGCAAGAAGCTCCAAAGCAGGTAGATCTACAGTGTGAAATCGAAACACAGGTACCTAGCGCACATCCGAGGAAAGGATACTTCTTTGTGTAAGACTTGCCAGCAAAGAAAGAGATTCTTAATCACTGTCTCATTACTGTAAACAGTAGCTTAAGGTAGCAGTAAAATATTATCCTTCCATGGCATTCTCGTTTCGCAAGCTGTTAAAATGTAGCTGCTTTGCCAGAAAAGCAGTCTTCTGAACAGCTTAAACGCTCTCTCATACAAGAAGTCCGCAATTGAACCACTACTAAGGACGTCTTCGAAATGAAGCTCTTCCTTTTTTTTTCCAAGTGAGCAGCGTGCTCTTTCCTCATATTTTACCTATATTAGGCCTACAGTGGCAATTCAATTTCAAACTGCATTAAAATCCCATGGCTCATATTCTAAAGGATACTTAAATGTCAACGTGCCTGTTAACGAATCTGGCCCCGTGGCCACCCGTTCTCTGCCGAGAGTGAAACACTGGCAGAGTAACTCTCCAAGTCCTGCGTTTTGGCCAGATTCAGTTAGCTGAAAGATGTTTAACAATCCCAGTCTGCAGGATGGGCAGAGGGGTGAGCGTGTGGCTTCCTATGGCCTAAGACCCTCTGCCCCACGTGCCTTATCCAGTGCTCATGTCCGGGGAAAGCCTGGCAGGCTCAACCCTTTAGCTCCAAGGATACAACCGGGGAAGGAAGTGCCCAACTCCTGCGTAGCACTAAGGGCCTGGATTTTTTGCCCCAAAGTGGAGAGACCTGGAATTAATTTTTTTCACAGTCTCTGAAGGCGTAGGCTCTCATTTCCCACAACCCTGTTGAATGCCCTTATCACTAAGCTGCAAAATTGTGTATCATCTTCTTTGCCCTGCTGTCCCCCATGACTCTTGTCGCAGCACCGTGGGGTGCTGGGTTGGATGGCCAAATTCTGAGGTAGCTGTAAAGGGAAGGGAGCAGAAAAGATCTGACTCCTTCTGTTCATGCTTTTGCACTTGAATATCACCTGGGCTCAGGCTTGCAGACTGCATGCCCAGAGCTACGCCGGTCCTGAGAATGGAGGTTTGCGCCATCCCAGGCACTCGTAGGGATTTTTGGCCACCAGCAGTTAGAGATGTGACCCATGCTCTGAGGCATCCTCTGCAGAACGGGGAAACACAATGAGCTGCTGAGCTACTGAGATGCTTCTTATATGTGGCTCAGAGAGCACAGTAAAGGCTGGATCTAGGCCTTGCTGAAACATTTAACCAAAAAAAAAAAAAAATCTCTGCTTTGTGCCAAGGCAAGCCTGCTATTCCTGCCTTGTGGTTTCCCTTTGATCCCATGAAAACTAAATGAAGGAAAGACACCTATAATGGTCATGATTACATGGACACCTTTACCATACTCTTCAATTCGGTGAGCACCCCAGGACTCGGGAGCCACATGCTATCTCCATTTTACATCACCTCTTTTGCTGGTGGTGTCACAGCCCCTTAGTGCTACTGACAGTGTATGTATTTACTCTTTTTTAATAAGGAATATTCCATACCAAAAGTAAACACACAGACGGAGACTAGATGCTGCTCGTGACATAACTGTGTGTATGTATCTTCTTTTTATTTTTGAGCCATGTTGTCCTCTTGCTTCTATTTTCCTGAAAACTCAAACAATAATATTTTTCTGAAAGTCAAAGGACTTACTATGTAGGCCAAAATTCCTCCCATGTTTGAACAGTCTGCCAGGGCCTCAACCAACATTTGAGAAAAGCCCTTTCAAGTTGCTGCCTTCCCAATACTAAAATCCACTTGCCTAACGAAAATGTTTATTTTAAAATAGTTGGGGGCTGCCATGAGGCACTTCATTAAATGAGCTTCTGCTTATATTGAAAAATAGGAAAAGAAAAAGAAAAATAAAACAGCACTTTACAGAGAAAGTCTTGTGTACTGAGGAAGTGATTCAAAGCCCCATGACCCAGCTTGCTGTTGTGGCAAAGGTGCCACTTTTTGCTTTAGAGCTGGGCTAAGCTGCCTTGCAAGCTTCAGTCTCAGCACAGAACTGTTTGGAGGCTTCTGGAAAACCCTGAAATTTTGATTAAGGCCTCGTCTATAGTGGTAAGTTTGTCCTGTTTTTCTTCACTGTTGCCAGTGTGCTATTATAGTTGCGCTTTGGAGAGCCTTTATGTGGACACCAGCGCTGCGTTGGCAGTAAGGGTTGTGCAGCATCACACACTCGGGGGTGCTGGGCAGAGCACCGCCAGCGGCGCGGGTGCAGGAGGAGGGTAGCATGCCTCAGCACGGCATGCCCTCCTTGGAGGAGCGGGGTTTCCAGCCCGTCTCTTTTGCAGCCTCCTGCTCGTCCTAGGTCTCCGGGGGAGAGCCGTGCAGCTTGGTCGGGCCGCGTGGACTGCACAAGGCAGGAAGGTAGGACTCGGGGCTGTCGCTGTTGCGGGGCTGCTGTGGCAATGCCATTTGGGATTATTAAGGAATGGTTTCCCTCTCCTCTGTTTACTCAGTGACACAGCTCTCTTTTTCCTACACTGCTGTCATTATTTCCAGTATTTTAAGAAATTTACATATATATTGAGGAAACAGATGTTACTGCTCAAAAGCCTTTTTTTAGATGAAATGGTTGTAGAAGCAGTTAAGTCGTCTGGGTCAGAAAAAGACATTAGATGTTCTGCAGCCCACAGGCTTTGCCGGCATGAACCTGGCACTAGATGCTTTTACCTGCAGATAAACATATGGAAAAGGGGTGTCCTGTGAGCTGGGACAGAGGCAGGACAGTTCAGCAGTGGCTGCACTAGTCAGGGGTGAGGGAATGCGAATAATTTCCTTGTGCTACCACAGAACAGTGGCCAAATCATTTACACTGACAGCACTAGTAGACATCTCCCCACGCTGTCTGCCAAACCTGCTCTCCCAATGAGCTGGGAATTGGGGTAGTAAGACCACGCTGCCCTCCAGGGCGCTCAGCTCACAGTGGTGTCGGTGCCCGAGACAGCTCAGAGACGTGCGTGTGAACTGCCGTCGCTACGGTGCAGAAAAATATCCCGTCTTTGCTGAGCCTCGGTTCCTTGTCTGTATTCCGGGGATAATGGCACTTCCCACGGACGCTGTGGGAACTAGCCATTAATGCCAGAGAAGCAGCAGATTAGGCACAATTTTAGTCCTGTCAGTGATACTCTTTTCAGGGACTGCGAGGCTTACTGATTCAAGTAATGTGGGATTTAGAGTCTTAAGCCTTGCTGAGAAAAAGGCACTTCTACCGCGGAGTAACTAACCAGCCATCTCTGGTAAAATAACAGCGGTACTTTCCTGTGAGGTTCCCTGGCTGGGACCGAGCGTGGGCAGAGCTGCAGCACCTCGTCCCCTTGCAGCAGTACAGAAGTGCCTTGTCTGCACCGTGCCTGGGTTTGGAGACTGCTCTGCCTGTGAGTTATCTCGCGGTAAAAACGGACCTTGCTAACGCTGAAGACAGGGCCTCGGCAACATGATTTGGGGGCAGGAGCCTTGTTTAGCTTTAGATCAGTGTTCAGGAAAAAAAGCCATGGGGAAGTAAGTCGAGCTGTTCATGCTTTTCCTGCTACCCCGTTTGCCTCCCTTCCCCTCTCTCTCTGCATGCACGTGCACACGTGGCAGATAGTTCCAGGCCTTATCACTGCTGGTCACCTTCCACCCCCCCAGTTACATTCACAATGAAAAATTATGTCAGCCGGCAAGGAGTGTATCAGAGACAATGCAAATAAATGTATTCTTCTACTAAATTTATCCCTGACATAAGCCCACGGAGGAATTCAAGCGCTGAATCAATGCGAGGTCTGTGCTACCTGCTCTCGGAAGCTGTCCCTCCAAGGAGCTCTTGTCTACCCTGTGGTTAATCCATAAGGAAAGAAGAGACTTCATTTGCCAGGACTGGTATTCCCACACCTTTCAGAAGCATTATGTCACTAAAAGAAATAAATGGATGAGACTGAAAGTGCAACTGTGTATGGTAACCTGGTCCAAGCTAGAGAGGAATCCAAAGAGACTTCTCTGCTGAACTACAGCATGCACAGGAGCTTTCTCAGTACATGCGTAGCATGCTATCAGGTTCAGTTTTCTATTTATTCTTGCCTAGAAACCTGCAAACGTCAAAGCTTATGTTGCTGTGTGTATTTCTAGATATAAACAACAGTTCTTCCAGCAGACTAACACAACTGCAAGGCAAAATAAATTCTCGTCTCAACTGGCTGAGAAGGTGAAGTACAGGTCCATATAATACACCATGTCCCCATAGTTCTGATTTCTTTTCTACAGACTGCTTTTCATATTTTATGTTTAAACATAATGGATGAAACCCTGCCGTAGCTGAAATCAATGACACAAGTCACAGACTCCTGCAGATCCACGTTCTCACTTTAGATTTAAACTCGTGTTCATCGGCTTCAGTATCACTGAAGCAGTGAAGCCAAACCAATAGTAAATCAGACACGTTATTTCCTGCTCCTCATGGAGAGCTTTACCTTTGGGAGCCCTGACTGTTGGAGATATGAAACAGGTTCAAAGCCATCTTTGCCGGTCCCCTAAAACTAAATGATGTGACAAGTATCTTGTACGGGTGTAAATACTCTTCTGTGGCACAAAAATGTATAAAATAAGGTGGGAATAGTTGATGATTTACTCTGCTTGGTAAAATCCAGAAGTCATGAACATAACTGGAGTTTCATTCTCTTTAAGAAAATTAATAAGTTTATCAAACCTTATATTTTTGTTCTATGAGCTTGCCTTGAAATAGTACCAGGTAAGTAAACGTCTGAGCATGTCAGAAACTGATCTCAATACCCATACTGTGTTTCAGATGCAGTTTTCAATTCAAACTGAATTGCACTTTTCATTGCAACTCTTCTGCTTCACATCATGTTGATAAAAAGAAAAAGAATCTCTTCTGCTTCAGAACCACATGTAATGAATTCCCAGGTGACTAGATGTCCCTGTAAGCATGTTTTTAATTTGTTTTTGTTTAATCTAGGTGACTAAGAAAATAATCAGTTGAAGACTCATGCATATTTTATGAAACGTATCTGCAGACATGCCTGAAATAGTTACGATGGCTCCCTTTGGAATTAGACCATAGCTTAATGCCGTGTCTTCTCTACACGGGAACATTGTATTGCTGGATCAGTAGAGCCAGAGGCAGTATTGCCCCAAGCCCAGATACACAGCTTAGGTGTGGGCAGCATTCAACAAGTAGTTTTGAGAACATCTGTAAGTGCAAGGTGCCCACCCGTCCCCCCCTTTGCCCAACCAGCTGCCTCACAGACGGTTTCCTTGTGAGCATGGGGTAGCGCACTAACCGGGGCTGCTGCACGTGGTACGCGGAGAGGAGAGTGCTGTGCGAGAGATGGAGGTCACCACCCGAATAAAAGGCAGGTCAGATCTGAAGGTGTTTTGGGGGACTTTCTCAGCAGCAGCATATCTATTTATTCTCATTGTTTTAGAAGGTTTGTTTTTACCCATATCGTTATTCCCAAAAGGAAAGAGAAACGATGCAGATCTGAGGTATCGTTTTATCTGTGTATGCACCGAAGGGTTGTATCAATGGAAACAGGACTGAAGAATTGCCCCAGCTGCAGTGTTATGCCTTTCACAAGAACATAGAACAAGCCAAGGTCTTTAACGTCTAAACTTTTAATTTTAGATCATTAAGCTTTTGTTGGAAGACTAATCAAACGAACATCTATTTTCTCCCTTTCTGTTCGGCTGCAGCTTTTTCTTTCTCTTTTCCCTTTTTGTTTGTTTGAGGTTTTAGAAGGGTTGTGGCTGAAGGAGTGAGAACTTGGCTTGATTTAAAATGTAAATGCAATTCTATCAATCTTCTCCTCTGCTAATAGGCTGCCTGGGCATTTTAAGGGCATATAGTGAAAAGGAAACTGTTGACTGCTAAAGAAAAGCCAGCCCCCTGCTGTTCCTGTTCATATTTATTTCACAATCAGCCCATTGAAATGGTGTGATTCACACTCTGATGCTGTCGTTGTCTAGCTGGCAAAGTCACTGGTGAATTTAAAGAAGTTTCCCAAGCTGAAAACCAAGCAAACTGCGTTTGGGGCAAAAAGCAGTCTTACCAGCAATGAGAAATAGTGAGTCACTGCAGTGATCTCTCTTGCTGAGGCTACCCTTGCAAATGAGTTGTTCTTCTGAAATGAGAAGCTATCTTCAAGAAACTGTAAAAAATATGTTGCTTTTGAAATGTCCTTCTGGTATACATATACATAAAGTATACAAGAGTAAAGTCATGCTTA